TTAACTAATTAAAATATAAATATGTGTTCTCAAAATTATCCAATAAGATTAAATGATAATTTTGACTAATAATTAATATGAAATTTTATTATACAACAATATTATATACAAAAAAATAAAAAATATATAATTAAAAATTAAAAAATATTTATTTTTAGGTTTAATATATCTAAATATTATTTTTATTTATATATTTTCAAGTTTTATATTTACAATAATAGTAAAACTAATAAAATAAATATGAAATAAAAGCTAAAATAAAAAAATAAAGTAAAAATAAAAATGAAAAGTAAAAAGATATTTGCTAAATTATTTTTATTATTTTTTGTTATTTAAACTATTTTTAAAAAATTATATTTTTAACTATTTTTAGAATTTTAATATTTTATAAATTAAAAAATTTTATATTATTATTATAATAAAATTTTAGATTATTTTTTGTATTTAATCTAATAAAAATTGATAATATTCAAGTTTTTAAATTATTTATAAATAAAATAAAATCAAAAATAAATTTATTTATAAATATTTTAAATATTTCAGAATATATTTTATATTTTATTTAATAAAATTAGATTCTGAATTATTTTTTCTAATAAAAACTGAAATAATTAATATTTTAAATTATTTTTTGTACTTATTCTAATAACAATTTGATAAATTCTTATTTTAGATTATCTAAATTGAATTAAATATTTCGAAATATATTTTGAAATATTTAAGTTCGATAAATACTGACTAAAAATTAGCATTAAAATTTTTATCAGATTAAATTTTGCAGAAAAATTTTTGAATTCTGAAAATATTCTAAAAAGCATTCTATTTTTTTTTTATATAAATAACATGAATTCTTTTAAAATTTTTTGAAAATATTTAACAAAAAATTATAATTTTTAATTTTTTTTTGAAATAATTAAAGAGCATTTTTAAATTTGCTAATACCAAAAATAATGGTTCAAATGAAATTGAAATCTGATTTTTGAGACAAATATTATTATAAATTCTAAAATTAGCAAAATTTCTGAGATCTAATAAAATTTCCAAAATCTGATAAAACCAAAATTACGTTATAATCAAAATATTAGAAGTTACATAGCCATTTAAAAATATTTAATACAATCAATTGTCATCTGCGATAGTAATAATTAATAATAAAAATTGACTGCTTGAAATTGAATAATTGTTTAATATCTTTTTTAATAAATCAAGGGGAACAAGAGTAAAAAGCGAACATGAAAGATAAATACTGCAATTTTATTGGTTATAAATTAATTGATAAGATAATATTGAATTTCTTATCTTAAAATGCAGCGCTAAAATACTAAATTTCAATTGGATAATTTGCACGTGATATTTAATACTGTTCGTTTAATGTTCGGGGAAGGTTACTTGAAGTGGCTGGGAAGAATGATAAACAGTCAATCAATTTCAACGACCTTAATAATAATCAATTTAATTCGAATTAATCACTTCAGAGATCCAGTTCAAATTTTTCCCTGAGGGAAGGGAGAGGGACTTCATCAAGACATACATAGGTTATATATAATGATCAAAGGTTAGATTGAATATAAGTAAATAAATTGCATGATATAATTATTAATTCAAGTTATTGGGGGGGGTTTAGGACAAATTTCAACAATTTAGGTAGGTTTCGGAAGTCACCGATTTAGGCAGGTTCCGGAAGTTTCGAATTTAGCCAAACCGAAACCTTAAAGGGCGAACCATTTTACCAATCCCAAAACAGATTTACCCGAAATAGATTTTCCCGAAACATTAACTAGAAATAATTTCAACTTTCAAAATTCGCTGAAATTTCAGAATGTTAATTATTTCAACTTTCAAGATAAGTTAAAAAGTAATCTTGTTAATAAATCATAAATTTCTATTTATTAATAATCAATTATAGCAGCAAATGTTATTTTTGTCCCTGAGACAAAAAAAAATAATTTTAATATCTTATCAGTTAGTATAGCAAATCTTGTCTGATATGATTACTTTGGCAGCTGATGACATTTCACATTTGCATAGCAAAATGAACTTCGCCTTCATATATAGATGTATTTTCCATGAGAAATTTAATTACCAATTAATTCTACAAGAGTTGTAAGGTTGTCAAGGTTGTGTTTCTTATAAGCAAAAAGCAACAATCAACTGAAGATCCAAAATCTCTAACGCTAAAAACAATACAAGAATTATGATAGACACGATCTACGCCAATTTTAGTAAAGTACTGAACTTCATTAACATTCATCCGCAATAGGCAATTCGGAAGAATAAGTTTTCAATGTTAGCTAAACATTATGATTTCAGAGTATAAAGAAAATTTACTTATAAAGAGCATTTCTAAAAGAAATCCATCACTTACAAAGAATCAAATTGCCCTTACGTTTAATATTTTCAGACAAGAGAAAAACGAGATTTTTAAAGGTTTTAAGATTCCTGAATCTCATATGCATTAAACTTGTTGCATGGCACATGTACCCCAAGTAATCGTAGAGTCGCCAATATGATGCCATTTGAGCATACATTTGTACTTTTTGCGAAAGATATGCAAATTAAAACACACCGAGCAGATTATTAGATACGCGACGCATTGGTTGTATGTAAATCAACAAATAGGGTTGTTCATTTACTTAAACACAAAAGGTTGACACTGTACTTATTCAAGTTTCCATTTCTTGTTTCTTTAAATATTCAATTCATTCGCTCATTCGCTCATTCAATCACAATAATAATATAAATCATAAGTAATAAATAATAAATAAGAATGATAATGATTTGAAGTAAAGTAATTTAAAAACTTTATTTTTCCTTTTTTAGCTGTTTTTGAAATATTTCGTTCAAATGTATATGTATGTATATATGTATGCAATGCAAGATTATTCGCGTTTTTTTTAGCTCAATTAAGTTATATGTCGAAGTTAAAAATGAAAAACGATGAAATATACATGAAGTGAATAAATTAAATATGTGGATCAAATGTATATATGTGTATGATATTTATATAAACATTATATTAACATGCGTAATTACGTGAAAAAGCGATTATATATAAGGGAGGTGTGGATGAATTATTATTATTATTATAAAATTACAAGAGAACAAAAAGAAAATTAAAAAGATGAGCGATGACGAAAGAAAAGAATAAAAGTTTCCCTCCCTAGGATAAATAAAACGAACACTCCATATTATACTTAAAAGGACTGGAATACAAACAGACTTTAGATATTGTATTTATGATTGTATATAAATAATTCTGATAAAGGAAATAAAATTTGTTGGGTGTATATACATATTAGCTAAAACTTAATTCTCTTTGGGGTTTAATTAAAAATTGAGAAAGCACAATTTAGAATTGAAATTTACATATTTTGTTTTCTCCAGAAAGGATGCTTACGTAAAATTCGCACAACATAATTGGAGAAGAATAAGGGAAAAAAGAGGGGTTTTGCACTAAGCTGCATAAAAATCATTTCCATAAAGGAAGATGAGAATAGGATGCGTATTTCGGTGTGTGTTACAAAGCTTAGGCGTGTATTTTTGATTTTTGGTTTTTTTAAATTTTTTTGGTAGTGTTTCTCGATTGTGTATTATATAAATTATTTACACACACCAATTATAATTTTGGTTATAATAATAAAGACTACATATTATGAGAGATAAAAGGTCATAATCACCCAATGTAAGATTGCATAAGTTGCAGTTTAAATTCACAAGTAGAATTAAATCTGTTGCATTTGTACGCAAATATGTGTGTTGATTTATTTTATAGGAAGGTCATGAATGGGAGTAAGGAAAGTCATCGCATTAATGGAATATTATTATTATGTAACGATTATTCGGTGCTCAACTTGAAAAGAAGAAAAAACCGAAAAAGAGAATAATGCAAATTGCGAATGAAAACTTCGAGGAAAATTAGATAGTTAAAAGAAAAAGAAAACGAAGAAGTGAAAGCGCGCAAAATTATGTATGGGAGGAATTACGAATTATACTTTTTTAATAATCGAATAGGATGCGCGAAGATCTTAGTATGAACTTTTTCTCTTTTGTGGATATGGTTTTTTAATACAGCCATTCTTATTGATTCGCGTGCATTTTCGATTATTTCGTTGACACATATCTGATGTGTTATCTGTTGATCATAAATCAAAATGATGTTAATCACGTGTTCTTTACCTATTTATAGAAAGTAATGAAATCATCAAAGTAATTACCAGAATGATCAGATGGTATATCAGCATATGGCGGATACCCGTGATTATTTTTCATTGGTTGGCCTTTTAGAAGATTGGGAAGATGTCGTCGTCGTGCGTTTATGAACCAATTCGAGATTTGTTGCAGACTGAGACCAGTCTTGCGCACTAAAAACAACTTTTGTTCTTCGGTGGGATATGGGTGCTTTTTGTGTTCGGCCAACCAACTCTTTAGAAGAGCTGTGGTTTGTTTTGGCAGATTGCCTCTCTTTCGTTTCGGTGGCTTTGAAGCAGGAGGACTATCTGGTGGTGACTGATCCATCGAATCAGATTCAGACGGTGATGGTAATGATTGTGGATTACAATTATTTTGCTCTTTATTTACAAATACTAATAAAATAACGAGAATATTGGATGAATAATTTGAATAATAAATAGTAATGTGAAATCCAATGAGTAAATAGAATCAAGAAAAATACCTTTGGGTTGCCACTTCTGACAATTTATTGATAACATCTCTTTTACGCGCATGCTATATGTGCTGTATTCGTGGGCATTGATGTTGTTGATGCACACATTCGGGTCATTGTGTCCATATCCTAATTGATCGTGGAAGATAATGACTGGTTTAAAGTGGCGACCTGTTGTGCAAGGCTAAATATATCGAAAGTTTGATTAATGTCGCGTCATTGAATTTTATAAATAAATCATTTATAATATTTACCTTTCTCCATGATGATAGGATTGTATTCATGTTCGAATATTTAAATAGTTGTTTATTTGTCTTGATGTTGATGATGATGATTAATTAATATTAATCTCTTGTGTTTTAAGTGTCGTTGGAGAAATTTGCTTTACAGGCAGGTTTGTAATACCAATAATAATAATAATAATTCGATTATCGTTAAGGGTTGAAAATGGTTAATAGGAAGATGGAAGGAGACGAAAGGGTGATTCAAAGGATGTGAAAAGACTGCAAAGAAGTGTGGTGGGTAAAGAACAAAAAAATTCAAAGTTGAGATTGGGGATTATAAATAAATGTTGTTTTTTTCCAAAAAAACCAAAAATGGATTAGATGACGTCTTAACGTGGCACGGGTTTCGTTATAGTTTGGGTATTGCTGTGGGGTTATATTATAGCGATAGCAAATTTTGATTATAAATGATGGTATTATGATGTATAGATTATTCTCTTAATTACTGTGTGGATGTTTTATATGTGATGAGAGTACGTGAGAATTGTATATAACAAAATTTAGCGAAAGTAATGATATAGACGTCAAATAACAACGTATAATAGCCGTTGCCGTGGTTTTTTGGATGTTGGCGTTTAACAAAAAAAAGTCGGCGGTCTCAACAAACTGTGCCTTTAATAAAATTTTATTATTTACGTACTCGAATAGTATTATATAATTCAACAAGTGGAGAAACATATACAGTCTGAATATAGATATTATACATGTATTATATATCTTATTATAAAATTATATATGATATAAAAAATATACAATGATACAATTTATGATACATATATATGTATATTGTATATATATATATATATATATATAATATAATATATATATATATTTATTATATAGATAATATTATATATAATATTATATAACAAATAATTTATTCATAGAAAATAGTACATCAGAAAGGGTTTAAACCAAAAAAATATTTTTGATGTTCGAAAAAGTTTTATTTGGATGAGGAATAAAAACATCGCAATTCTTCAGGATAGAATTTACATTTACACTATTTAATGTATAAATTATGTTGGCGGTGAGTATATGCGTATTATGCATAACAAGTAAATAGGTAGGTAAGAAAGAGAGTCACATTACAACAAACCTTGCAAAATTTTGCATCGCTCATATTTGGTATTCGGCATAAACGATACACATATACGTTTGCATTAACAATAATCATCATACAATATCTACCTCGGTTAAGAAAGTCTTTGAATTTGAAACAATCATCATACGTGTAGCGAAAAAAAGTGCTTCAGATCTGAATTCAACCGAAAATCGAGAAACTAGGCAAGAAAAAGTAGCTCTTTTCTCTCGCGCGCTCGAAATTTCTCAAAGATAACAATGGCTGTCGAAACGTATTTACACAATCGAATATGCAATAATTGCTTATTTATTGTTGTTTGTTTAAATTATTTGCAATGTGACTTGTCAAGAAAGAATGACGAACATCACTAATCTATTAGCCAAATTAAAATTAATGATTAATCAAATATGCACTAATATTATCTTATCACACAACACACAGTGGTATCACATTGAGGATTAGGTTAGGTGGTTGATTAGCTTTTTACACTATTTCGTCAGAGAACCCGAAGGCGACAAAAATCATGCATTCTAACATTGAAAATCCTAAATTTACGTTAAAAGCAAAATTCAATCAAAAAAGTCGATTATAATTTTATCGTTAACATGTCTCCAACCTTAATTCAAATCTCGCCAATACTAGCAAGATTTACCCAAACACAAACTACAGATAAGGTGCAAAGATGCAAATTAATATACGATAATGAAAATGATGTTCAGATAAAATACCAGAAATGTAAAATATTTCTATGTCGTGACGAAATCAGGCAGAATGAGCGCGTGAATGTGTTATCAATCGATAATATGCTTATGCTCGTGTCTTTAAAATTCTAGCCTATATGACTAGGTCAATATACATGAAAAAACCGGACATATCATATAGCGGTCTCTGACTAACCGACCAAGTTGGGTTGCTTACGAAATTGTTCGTAGAACTTTTATTGCACAAATCTACAAACTTTTGCCTCCATATAGTGTAAGCTCGGACGAATAAACGGTAGCTAAATTTTCTCACATAATTTTTTTCTTCCGCCAATTGTTGTATTGTAACGGTGCGCGTAGTGATACATACTATTGTTGCCTGTAAGGAAATCAAAAATCACAAAGGCAGCACAAGAGCTTTTTTGCTGGAAACGGGTCACTAACGGTGTGGGGTATCTTCGAGAGGAATAAATTATTTGAAAAGGAAATCGCGGGTATCTGAATAAATGCACGCGAAAAATATTTTTTTTTACGCGTCGTCTTTTCATCTTATTCTTTGAAAATTTTTGACATTTTTGAGCTTGCATAGATATGACAATCAGTTGTCATTGGTATTATTAGTGAGATAATAAAATTTAACATGTCGATAATAATTATGAATGTTGATGGTGGTGTAGATATTAATTAAAAACAATCAGCATCTTGTCGCCATAGTAGTTACATGTATGTGTATGACGATCATTCAGATAATAATGAACAAAACGCTTTCTCTCCAGCTGCAGGTCGACTGATTTGTCACTAAGTATCTTTGTGAAAATTTTCATGTATGCAGAATTCTTTTTTCTCTCAGACTAAAATTAAGAAAATCTGTATACATTTAATATCACTTGCCAAACAAGAGAGTGATGTGATTATCTATTAATGCCAATATATTAATATAAAGTTATCTAGAGCCGATATTCCATTTGCCAGAATTTTCTGATTGTTTATGAACCCATTGTCTTCCAATTTACTATAGGCTAATAAAAATTTTTCTGTTAAAGTTGAATGCTGTGCATTGTTACATTTTTTTGACAGCACATAAATGGCAAATGGAAAACAATGAGTATCAGGTTTTTTTCTTACCCTACCATTACACAAATAAATAAATAAATAAATAAATAATAAATAAATAAATAATAAATAAATAAATAAATAATAAATAAATCATCAATAACCACTAAAAAATAAAGAGTAAAAATATCGTAAATAATGTGAACCGTGAGAGAGTTTTTTTTTGTTTTGAAATGCAAAACTAGGAAAATTGACAGCAACAATAGCACGCATTGAAAAAAACCAGACACAATTATTATTTCAAGTTAGAAAGAGTGAGAAAGGGGCTGCTGCTTGATGATGCACAATTGAAACAACGACGACACAACAGATTATAAACAATAGCTTCACTTTATCCTTTCTTTTAATGAGCGTAATATAGTACCCCACCTCTCCATCTTTCCATATTGGGAGTTTCATTTTTCCTAAATCGAATAATTAGCCGATTTTTAAACAAAAAACCTCTCGCTCTGGGATTTTCGGAAGATTTTTCTGCTAATGGCAAACAGATACACGTAAGGATTCCATTCTGCTAACGGACAGACAGACACACAGAGATACACACGTAAGGATTCTATTTTTGTATGGATATGTTTCTATGTTACTAAAGACTTTATGTGTGTGCGTGTGTGCGTGTGTGTGTGTGTGTGTGTGTGTGTGCATAAAACCAGTCCATGAGAAATTTTAAGCGACATTAATAATCATTAAATAATGCAATTTATTCATTCAAATACAAAAGTGAACAATAGTTGATTAACTTCTTTTTTGAGTAAATTTAAAACTTTGTATTTTATTATAATTTAAGGCTGAATCAATGGCGCGATGCGCATAATAATGATGTGGGATATGTGCGTAGGATAGGTTCGCGTTAATAATTAGGTAATAAATATATAAATTTGGAATCAAGTTGAAATACATAAAAAGTGTCAGAAATTGTCATGGATTTATATATCGTTTTGATTTTTGATCCTCAATTTCGCATTCACTCCACACGCATGTAATTAAATTTGGAGTTTCTCAAACCTAAAGCTAAAGAAGAGCAAGCAGAAGAAAGTCATTGACCAAAAATCTTGTTGATAAACGATTATATCATATTTTTTTTTTAAATTGCACAACAGCGTGTGTATGGTAGCATCAAACCAGTATTAAGTCGTATGATGTATAATACATTAACTTTTTTAGAATGAGAATATCAACGGGTTAAAGACGTATTTTAGTAACCACGATAGATAATGCCAATCCATCAACACCTTGCTAAATAAACATTTCATTTGAGTGTGTGCTTGTGTGTGAATTGCATTTTCCCGGGCTTTTGCTTTTAATTGTTTTCATTTGTGCACGCGAGTTCTCGTGCGCGCCTGTTAGACAAACTTTAGATCATTGTCCGTATTTCAAACATGATTTGCAATAAAATTGCATGTATCATATAAAAATTAATGTGGCTTAAAATGTAATTTTTTTTTATTTCACGTTTTTTTAAACTGTGATCTTTAAGGTATTTTAAAATATTTATTAACTAACCATTAACTGTGACCATTGACTGAACAACCATTTATTAATTTTTTCGTCACAAGCTACCATTATAGATAAACAAACAAACGATCAGAATATTTTCTCCCGCTCTGTGCAATGGTAACAATCAATGGCACACAATTTATTTTTATTTAATCTGGCTAAGTTGTTCAATCATATAACCATTGAAAAAAGGCGTGCATGCGAGAAAATTGCCCGTTTATAAAACAATACCAGTTAACGGCACAAAAATCAAGATTACAATAATTGACAACCGCGTCGCGCGCATTGATGTTTTTTGTATCTTATCAATCTAAATGGGAATAAAACTGTGCGTGGTGTCAGTGTGTCGTTCTCATTAGATCATTGCGCTCTTGCATCATTGTATAAATTCTATTGACCGTGTTTTTGGCGTGCATTTTTATTTACTTGCATTAATGTTTTACTAATATGCATCGTACTATTAATCATTTGTGGGGCTAATTTTTATATGATGTTGTTGATTATTTATTATTTGTCGTTGCGCTAATAGTTTGATAATTTCGCGGCGGTGGCCTTATTGACGACAATGTGTGTGGCACACCGCCTGTCTGTGGGCGCGTGTTTTCGTTTATTTCGGTAGGATAACAGAATTTTTGGAGTTATAGATAAATAAATAAATAATATGATGAGATCACACGACGAATCGTGGTTTCTTTAATCGATTGTTCAAAAATCCCCATTGTGGCAAATGGCGTCTATATCCGTTAACACTGCGTCTGTTTCGAATGTTGAATGCCAAACCAAAAAGAAAAACAATTTGTGTTGTATCGGGAAAGGTTTGCGATTGAATGCTCTCCAGAATACGATTCAAATACTGATTGTTTGTAAATCGGATTGACGTATCCCCCCTTTCTTAATAATGCCAATTATTCCTTGTGACCATTTTTTTTTTGACAATTCAAGTTAATTGATGCCCTGACCCTCTAGTGATGCGCAATATTTGTAATACTATGCGCGCAGACAATGTATATCTTGATTTTTTTGTGTGACGTGAACGGTGATTCAATACAAACATATAAAGGGATTGTGAACCCCATTCTCCCTACAGCAAATGGAAAAACTGGCGTAAATCAAATACGCCGAAGTGTACATACATAATTAATTATCTATATATTGATATTTTATTGTTCGAACTATTATCACCACATAATGCACGAAAATGAATGGATTAAGGCAGGAAAAAAAAGGTCAGCCGATCAGGCAAATTATTCGGCAAAAAAAGAGTAAAGTGCAGGATTATTGTATGGAAAAAATAACGAACTTAGTTTGCCAAAACGAGATTAGGTAAGTTTTGGAGTTTAATTGGCTAATAAGGGTGATAACGATTTATGGATACATGCATGAAGAGTCACTCGTATGAGTTAAAATGAGAATTGCATAGAGTAAAAAATATATTTCTTATTAAGTTAAAACAAAGGACGCAATTTTCCATTTGTTCGAATTCCTAATTATTTCGACTGTTATTGTTTACTCTGGAAAAAACGTGTACATGAATTCTAGTTAAGAAGGCCGACTTAAAGTTATATAAATATTTTTGAATTCATGATGAGCGTAAAAAACTTTTTCCTCAATGATATTTAACCCGATGCCATACAATCTTTGCGGAAAATAATGTACGTAGTTTCCTTATTTGCTGCAAAATGATAGAAACCGAAATACACGAATATTTAACAATGATCATCTGACGATCGGGATATCAAGCGATCGTTCAAGTAAATCGAATGGTTGGAGGGCAACCAGGCGAAAATCTTGAAAGTGCAAAGCAAAATTTTCAGTGAATCATTAAAATGCGGTATTTCAATGAATCATTCGTTACGTGCTTTTCTTCGATACATATCTTATCCTTTTGACGTTAGTCCATTCACTCTACCAAATTCCCAGGCCAGTGCAACATGCATACATTCATTTTCTATACTAACGATCAACTGTAGATTATTTCGATTAGGTTATGCTATGCTTGTAGGATATCTTTCCATTAATTATGATGTATCTACGTAATCAGTCCCATTGTTCTACTTTTTCTTTTTCCTGGGCCCTCGTAACTCTGTTCGAGAAATCGAAGATTTTCTCTTTGTCTTTTAATAAAGATAAAAAAGTCATTGATACGCCAATGGGGTACTGAATGCACTTTTCTTCCCCAGAAAAATTATTTTTCTGCATATTTCATGGAGCTGAATGAATATAGAAAATTTCTTTCTAGAAAAATTGAAAGAGATGATAATCGACATCTCAGATTACCTGCGAGAATAAGTCAAGGCAGAAATCGTTATGTTCATGTACTAAGATTGGTGAATCTGGTCTCTCGACTATTATAGGGAAATTTACAACATTTATTATTTTAATTTGACATAGTTTTTTTCATTCTGACAGATCTTAAATGCTAATATGGCTCATTCTTATATGGACATCAGATAGTTTAATTATCCGAAACTTGTACACTTTATAATGAAATCACTAGTACACATGCGTGAATCGTTTAATTATGAATTTCCAATCGTTTATAAAATTATACCAAATATAGACATGTTTTATTATTGTCTGTGTATATATTTTGGTTTGACATGATCAAATACTCATACACGTGTTTTCTTGAAATGAGTATTATTAATTGTTTAGACGTTCAGGTATTTTGTCTATGCACGTTTAATCATTTATATTTTATGAAGACACAAGAAGTAGTAGTAGTATAAGAGCATTCCGATAATTAGACTTGCAGTGGTACTACCGGTTCAATTGCTTATTGTTAAAACACTATTTATTACCCCACGAATTTTTTTACCAATTTTTGTACGTTTCGTTAAAGCGTGGAGAATAAAGATTCCTAACTTTGTCGCATTCGATTCTACTACAGCTGTTTAGCAGGAAAAACTATATTCGGTTATAATTTCAGCCACTGTGTTGCAATATCTTCGGGCATCTTAAGCTTTCCATTTTGTTTTGTTTTAATCTGATAAAATAAAAACCCATTGTTTAAACTTTAGGTTTATTTCCGGTTCCTCATTGTTTTTTTTTGCTACTATCGAAAATAGGCTAAATTAGACATACTAAGTTTTCTGTGACGCGCGTACATTAAAGTAAATAAATCTACTACATCTTATCAACTAGATTGTGTCTGCAGACACATGCTTTATTATATCGACGATAGATAATTGTGAAATTTTCCTTACGTTCCTTATTTCTGTTAAAGGGAAAAAGGTTCGTGCAATTTCACACGCCCAAGCACAGTAGTGTAAAAAATATTAATAAAAAAAATATCTAACAATGGAGGTATGCACGTCGTCATAAGCCGATATTGACATAAACAAGCTTATCTTTATATTCAAAAAAAAAATACACACACACAAATATATATATGCACCTGCATATATATATATATATATATATATATATATATATTAAATCAGAGTGATACAATACCCCACATTAATGCACTGCGATAATCTAGATTATTATTGTATAAAATTCTCAATCTAAAGATGGGAAATAAAAGAAAAAATTAAATATTACCCCGTTCTTATTAATATGTTCCAATTGTTAAGAAAAAGAAAGATCGCCTTTTATTTTAGGGATTCTATTGCAAAGTTCAACAAAGAAAAAAAAATCGATTATGCAAATGTAAAAAAAAAATGGTTGGCTACGATCGTGTATTCTGTGTTCGAATGCTGTACGCCTTTATACCCCGCATTTATCATTTTTACGTGTGTGCGCATAGTTGATCGTGCGCTCATTGTTTTTTGGTGACTTCATAACAAACAATTAGTGGTTTTTTGCGTGAACAATAGAAGAAAATTTCTATACATTAAAAACGAAATGGTGAATTTTGGGTAGGTGGCAGAAAGTAATTCAGCCCGTTTAATTTACAACTATATCAAGCATCATTCGATAATATTCAAATTCTCAAATAGAGTTTCAAAAATAATTCTTCCCCAATATATTGATCGATCCATCATTATTTTCAACAAAAATAATTATTTTATCTCGAAAAATTTAGTTTTATGCCCAGATTTACATAAATTGCAAATCAATTGCACAGACACTTTTATTTGGTATGACAAAAAAATCCGTTTTGCGGGGAAAACTGGCTTTAGATACATACAGGATCGCTTTTGGGCATTAAAATCTCTCAAGAGGCTTAAAAACAAATAAATCTGCACCATACAAAGACTTTTCCAGTCTCATTGATTGAATTCGCCCATGCGCTTACTCCAGTATAACAAGATGGATACATGCGAGAAAGAAACTGCATTAATTACAAAATTTATTTAATGGTTTTAGTATTCTAAATAATAAATAGAGTAATTTTTTGACAGCTTAAATTGTCATACAAGAACATTACAATATAAACAAATTTCTTTTTGATACATTACGTCATTTTTTACGTCTAAAATATCAAAAGAATCGTTTTTCCGACATCAAAATTCTTGGCGCACTTCCTTCTAATGAACTCAAACAATTCGCCCACAGTCAGTCAGTCTAGGATTCTGATTTGGATTGTGGATGGTTATTGTCCTAAATTTAATCTGGCGGAATTCGTGAAACATTCACTAGTAACATGAATTTGCTAAAATGTTGTATTCATATCATTCATTCAATGGCCGCTAAATGATAAACAATAAAATAAAATTCTATGGGCAAAGCAAGAATGTATAAGCTATGCATGCAATGCATACCATTGCATCTGTCAATATTGAAAAGAAAACAGCTAACGATATTTAAAGTTGATTTGTTTCTTATTAATAGATTTATCGCACTTTTATGGTGAATGCTTTATTATTAATATCGAGCCTAATTAATCTATTAAATAAAAAAGATCTCATTTTTCTACATAATAAAAAAGTGCATATGATTTTTTACATAAGAACGAGAATACTAAATTGTCGTGTTACCCTTTTGGATATACACCCCTACAGTATATTACCGGAAATTTCAAAAATGAATTTGTCACTTTGGTTCATGATATCTCGACATCCAGTGATCCTGTTCGAACAGAAATATCATTATTAGATTCGCATAGTCGAGGCGAATCTAATGGTAATATTTTTGTTCGAACAGGATCACTGGATGTCGAGATATCGTGTACCAAAGTGACAAATTCATTTTTGAAATTTCCGGTAATATACTGTAGGGGTGTGTATTTCTATAAATATGTTTACAATATTTGAACTTTTGAAAGAGGATAAATTTAAAATATCGTACATTTTTCGCGATATGTTAATTTTTTTCATCTGCTTAATATTTAGGTGTGAATTTCTAAAATAAAATTTTTATTTTCCAATTTCTTATGAGTATTTTCTGTTCGGGAATAGAAATTGTCAAATAGTGATAAAAGACGCAAGCTATCTTAATTTGTTTTCTTTTCCTTAATTCTCTTTAGAGTGTAATAAAAATAAGATGAAATAATTATGCAAACATCTAAAATAATGTTTGAATAAGCATTTTTATATTTAATATTGCTGAATTATTTTTTTGGAAATTTAAAGCCAAAATACTTTTTATTAGTAAAATAGTCTCTCAATTTATATGAAATATTAATTACATGTTTTTTGATTATAAAAACGGTTAAGATCCCAAATAGAAATTGATAACTTCAGAGAACAATTTATTAGGCCAATAAATTATAAGAATATGCTGTTATAAAAAAATAATTTTATAGAGGTTGATTGGGTTGTATTCAGTCCCAAAATTTTAAAATTGGACAGTAAAATTTGCTTTTTTGTTTAGTAAGCCCAAATCTGAGTGAACGTCATACACTTTCCAACATTTGGACAAAACAAATACATAACCTTTCTTGCTTGAAACATTGACAAACCATATGAGGTTTGAGATTTAATCATCTTTTAAAGCACATTTATCTTTTACATTTAAATTAAATGTTACCATAACGATAATTCCGGGCAAAATGTGTCGATCATCAACCAGAAAGAATGCTATTGATGCGGACCAAATTTAACAGATATAAACAATCGATAACTGAGAATATTATCCATAAAAAATATTTTATTTTTATGCTTAAAAAAACATAAATTAGTTCTTAAAATATAAAAATTTTTCTAGGCTTTAATGAATTTCTTTTAAGTTAGTATATATATTGGTTGTATTGTATGGTATGAAATGATTTTTTTAGCTTTGCGTCACTTAAAACTAAAAATATTTCTACATGATACCGATAGCAATAACAAAGAATTATGTATGTTGTCGTCGCTTTCTACTAATTTTCACTCTTTGTTGAGTTTGTACACTTTTAACAGTAACAAAGACTACGTTTTGTCTTCTAGCATCCCTACCTTCTGCTATTTTCAAATGATTTTTCTCATCATTTTACGTTCCTATACCATTTAATAAGAGAGATCCATATTATATTGGCTTCCGCATCTCTACATTTTGCTAATTTTAAATATTGATAATGAACCAAAATAAGAGTTGAAAAACCATTCTTTTTGGCATATAGCTTTCATAAATTAAATAATTATGATCACAGTATATCCAAAAAAAGTACCCCCTTCATAATTAGCTTTATTCAGGCCAAAACTAGTGTAATCCGGGCCAAAATTACGGCTTCATGTTAAGTATCCCCGTATAATATACCCTCCTCTTCACAAAGTACCCGGGGTACTAATTGCCGAAAAATACGGTATATATAAATTACCGCAATCAACTATATGATTGGTTAGACTTTATTCCAAATATAGAAAAGGGTCCGAAAAAGGAAAGATTGCCACAAAAATTTTCTTATTGCGAACCAACATGTGACTTTATTAAGTGTTTTAATAGTGACCTTTTTGAAAATTTACTATGGTCTCGAATCATAAATAGCGATGCCATTTATATATAGTTTTCTAATATCCTAGCCACGGCAAAAAAGTGTCTTTCACGTGATTCCGATCCCGATGTCGAGTTTCGGTTAGGGTTAGAATTAAGATTATTATATAATAAATATGAATATAGTATATTTCTTAAACTGTTAGATTTTGTGGGAAAATTTGTTTGCTAAAATTCCATAAATTTATATCTAATATATTTTATCAAAATATAAAAAAATTTTTTTTAATATTAGCTTTAATTATATATAAGGACACTAATATATATTATCTAATATCTTAAAGAATGAAGAATAGAGCTGGATCTTATCTTATCTGAGGATGAAGGATGAACATCTTTATCAAAGTGATATTAAATAATATATATCAAATAGTTATTTTCATTTTTTTAAAATTATTATCAGAATTATCAATATAAAAATAAGAAAATATATATAATAATTATTATTTAATAAATAAAATTAAATAAATTTTATTTGTTTATAATTTTTCAATAA